GCGTTTCTAGTCCCCACCTGTCGTTTTCCTCCTCTGCATGGCTTCCTAAAAACTCTGCAGGATTTCTCAAACATGCATGAATGAGTCAAAGCGTGACTGGTGGAGGTCTTGGTGTCATATTTGGCTTATCAGTACATTTGGGGAAGATAAATCATGAGTAAAAGCTCTGATTCTGTCAATACTTTGTGGAGCCACATTTTGGAAAGTGAGAGCTACTTACTCCAGCTTTGTGTCGCAGAGCTCGCCCCTCTCCTGCAGTTTTCTGAAACTCCGTCAGCTGCTCCTCCAACAAACGCTCAAAGCTCTTCTGGTCTTCAGAACTGGGGTCCTTACTGTAGTCTTTGCCCTCAAAAAAGTACATGTGGTCTGAAAAGACCAGAAGGGATGATGGTGAGCAGGACTCATCAACAGAAAACACTAAAGGCAGATAGATAATTAGCTGCTGATGAAGAGTTAAGGTGGTAAAATAAATCTAAGTTTTAAAGGGATCCATGATTAGATGTAACATTAGACTTTATTTGATAAACATTTATTTTAACTGTAAATTTTTACTGTCTTTATTTTACAATTAAAATAAATGTTTATAAGATAAAGTCTAATGTTACAACTAATCATGGATCCCTTTTATGACTCTCACAGCACATAAAGAGCTGAACCTGTAATAAAACATACTCTGCACTTCAGATTCAGATCTGTCCTCCTCCTCTTCTTCTTCTTTAAGTGATAAGTCCTCATCATCCATCCAATGACCGCTTCGTGACGAGCCGAGGATCTTCTCCAGTTTTACTTCTTGTATTGAGCTCTCATCTGACAACAGAAGCTTATCTATCCCAAACTTCAGGATCTCACTCAGCTGTTTGAAGCATATCAGAAGAGAAGAATCAATGAAGACAGTTGGGTGTGTTTGAATAAAATGGACATTTGTGAACTTGTCCAACCTGCAGTCCTGCAGCAGCAGACTGAGCTTGGTCCAGTAATGAGAAGCGTCCTTCTTCAATAACAGCGTTGGTGAGCTGTAGCTTGGATACAGCACGGGCGTACATGATCTCCTCCACCGTGTCTCTTGCAAGGAGGCGAATTACTTTCACAGGTCTGTAATGCATCAGATATTCAAACGTAAAGGCCCTTTTGTTCAAAGGACAATCAGAAGAAGCAATTTGCAAAAAAAGTAAATAAAAATAATAATGATCAGAGGATGAAACAAGTTAGATCTGGTTTACATTAGGTTCAACGGCAAGAGCTTTTCTGTATGTAATAAATGAAAATTTTGATTTGTGAAAATAAGAATATGACCAAAAAAACAAACAATAAAAAAACTGAACCAATAATATCAGACTTTGTGTTAGAGATTTTTTTTTACAGGAAAACGTTGAACATGTTTGAGTGAGGTTCTGCAGAGAGGTTATGAACAGTTAATATCTTGCCTGTTGTAGACAGCTCAATGGAGGATCTGTTTGGAAAAACGTGTTCATATTCAACCGGATTAAACTAGACTGAGACCAAAGTGGGTCTTCAAACATCTCTAATCTCAAAGGTTTGATAATGATGCAAACAGCAGCAGCAGTAACAGTTAGCTGCATCACTTCCTGTGCAACCAGCRGTCACTTCCAGCAGAAATAACCTGATATATCAGGTATGATATTGTAATATTTCATAATCTGGAAGACAGGGCTGATGATTTAGACTGTTTTTTGTTAAAAAGTATTTTCCATACCTGTTCTGACCAATCCGATGGCAGCGTGCTGCTGCCTGCAAGTCGTTTTGAGGGTTGTAGTCACTGTCCACGAAAATAACCGTGTCAGCAGCTGTAAGGTTCATGCCCACACCCCCTGACAAGAGACAGTTTAATGAAGTCAAAGTTTAAGAGAACAAGCTGCACAACGTTAAACTATAGCTCACATTAAACTGTGTCTGCAGTTATTCTAAAAACAAAGGACGTTCATCAGTGTATAGTCATGGATGAAAGAAAGTCTATCTTCTTTTAATTCTAGGGTTTTACATAATGGATGTTCCCAAATTATTCAAATCTAAACTCAATGTAACAAAACACAGAACAGCTTCCACCATATTATAATTTAATAATAAACAAAAACAAAAATGGGGAAAGCTCTGTGTGAAAAACTAAGTCCCCCTCACTGCTTCTACAAGAGGAAACAGCACAGCCACTGTTGATCAAATCAACTTGATTAACTGATCAACATCAGTTTGACCACATTTACAGCAACAGGAGATTTATCTGGAACAAACAGGTTGTTAACACAATAAATAGGGAGGAAAGAAAACAGCAATGACCTCAGAAACAACTGCTGCGGTCCGTTCATCTGGGAAGGGTTAAAGGTCATTTTTGAATAACTTGGAATCCATTATTTTTTATATAGCTGTGTTGTGGAGGCAACAGGTTCAGGAGAAAAAACTCAGGCGTTCCCAGGTCAGAGAGGATACATAATCCCTCCAGCGAGACCTGGRTCTTCCCCGGGCCTCTCATCAGTGGGACGTGCTCGGAAAACCTCAAAAGGGAGGCGTCCAGGAGGCATCCTAATCAGATGAACCACCTCAACTGACATCTTTCGATATGGAGGAGCAGCAGCTCTACTCTGAGCTCCCCGCAGAAACAGAGCTCCTCACCYYRTCTCTAAGGCTGAGCCCGGCCCCCTATGAAGGAAGCTCATTTCAGCCCCTTGCATCCCGACTCTCTTTCTTTCAGTCATGATCCACCCMTCATGACCACAGGTGAGGGTTGTGTAGCATTTTCCTGCATATAATTAATCATTTCTGATTAGATTTAACTCGTTCTTGTGACTGCTCAGAGAAAGGAACAAAATCCCACTAACTTCAGATTTTTTAAAGGATTTTGCATGGAACTTCCCTTTGTGGCCCTAATTAGCATCTCTTACACAAACCCTCCACTAGACTTTGCGATGCCCCAGCAGTCAAACTGAAAGAATTTACATTCTGATGAGTCCTTGTGGCTTCCACCCCCCATAAGGACTGCCTGTTGGTCCCTCTTCAAGGGGGGTGGGGGGTGGGGGGGTGGCATAAATACCTTTAACCAGACTCTTCAGTGACCTGAAACAAAGGACTTACATTCTTCATTAAATGTGAAAAAAAGAAGGAACCAGATTGAATGTTTTTATACAACTGTCTGTTCTTATATATCTTAATCAAAGAAATGTGATTTACTTTTCTCTTACAGAAATAACAAAACCCATTGAATCTAACTGTGGTTTTTTATTTTTTATTTTTTTGATGAAGTGTTTTCCTAAGAAGATGTTTCTTTTATTTCATGATTTTATACTGTGTTTTATTCCATGATTTAACCCTTAGAAACCTTAGGTCTTGAATTTTAACTAAATGTGACACTCTTATTTTATTGAGGTAAACAGATGTCTCCCCTTTAATTAGATGCAAGATAATTAAACTAAAACATTCCCTTTTTCTTTGTCCTGAAGTGAAGTTTTCCCTCCAAAACATTTTATTTCTTAAAAAACCTTTCCTGTATAAGGTGTAATATTTTCATTGGCCAACTTAAAACCTTGACTCCGCCCATAACAGAGGTTTTAAAAGTTAGTGCAGCTTCCAAGATCGACAGTTTGTTTTTGAGACATTCCAGTGAATGAATGAATGAGAGGAAGAGATCTTTTCAACATCAAGCCAGAAACAGCTTTCCAGGAGTTCGGCAGAGGCCTCCCTGCCAGCCTTCCCCATGGGCTGGACAGGATGGTGCCAGTCTGCATCTTCTGCTGATTGACCGAATAGCTATCTTTTCATATCGGCTCAATATCTGAGTTTGATTTTATAGAAGTCAAATAAGCTAATGGTAATTCATGCATCGTTTTAGCTCGTTTTCTCTACAAAGTGGAAATCAAATTAAGAAGTCTTGCAGCCACCTGGAGGACCAGACTACGAGTCACCAAGGAGTGACCCCTTCTCTGACCAAGGGACCAGTCGAGTTTATCAGGAAGACCGTCTGATATCCAGCTTGCATGGAGAGCCTGTCTGGAGAACGAACCCAGAGATGATCTTCCACYGSTGACTTCCCCCTCCTGGTACCCGCAAGGYAGAACAAAAGGGTAAAGCTGAACATTTGTCCTGGTGACACACAGGTGCTCAGACTAATTTGATTTTTATCTTTGTGTGAGATTTGGTAAACTAAACGCTTTTTCGACCTAATTTAACTAGGATTCCTTAGTTAAATCCACAGCTAAAAGCAACTTACCTCACCTCACTCTAAACCTCAAACTCACCTCTCAGTGTTTACTTTATGTTTATCTGTTTGTTTGTTTATTTGTCTGTTTGTTTGTTTATTCACTCGTGATTGCAAACCCTTTCAGTTTTTACCTGGTTCAATATATCATCATTCATTCATTACTCGCCATAGTTGTATACATTTAATCTGTAAATAAATGGCTCGTGGAGAACGTGCCAACATAAGCTAATCTCATTTTTGTGTCTTGATAAAAGATATTATTGGTTCTGATAAGACGAGAACTCATAAAATCATTTTGGGTACATGTATTCTGAGACTGATTACAATTAAGTTACAGTTTTTCGTCTCTTTCCTGGGTCAATCCTGGACCAAATTAAAGAGCGTGGTGCCTCGAGGAATAATATACTTAAATAAAATATATTTAAATATATTCACAAATTATCCATTTTTTAGAATATACCCAAAAACCCCTACAGTTGGAATGAAGACAGACCAGTAAATMCAGAACTTTTCCTTTCGACTCAGCTCTTTCTTCACCACGAGTGACCAAAGCAACGCCCTCATTACTGAGGATGAGACCCCACAACCCATTGATCCATCTCCCGCTCCATCCGACCATCACTCAGGAACAAGACATCCAGATACTTACACAAATATCTAAATCCAAAATAAAATATAAGATTGTTGTTTTAATACATAACAATACCAGAAATGACGGAAGATGCTAAAGAAGAAAAGTATATACAGTAGTGGCCGGAAGAAAACTGCTTAAAAACAGAAACTATTCCTAAAGACAGCAGCTGAACTCAAACCCTGTTTTGTTTAACGTAGAATATTAAAGTAATTAGTAGGATCGTCAGCTCTCAATGAGGCGTAGACTCCCTCTATGAAGCAAACCCATGGTGAGAATTGAAATGTAATGCTCCTGAAGTTCAGGACATGATTTCCAGTTCCACCAGAGGTTCTTACCATTAATAGTACACCAACAAAATATAAAGCTTCAAAACCAGTAAAATAAAATAAAAAAACATAGCTTGTTTTATTTTTACAAGTGTCTTTTTTTTCCCAATATAATTTTTTAAACACTCGATTATTAGTTTTACCTCATTATATTTTTTAACGGAAAAACCAAAGACTGAACCATGTACACTTGTCACAGACTTGTCGCACAGATTGTCTACAGGMCTCAGCTAGAAAGTTACGTGTTAAAGTTCATGACAGGAAGATTAGAAAAGAACTGAACAAGKATGAATGGTTAGGAAGGGTTTTTCCTCTCTAAAAACAACATGGCACCATGACTTATGCTTCAAAATCAAATATCAGTGAATCACCTGCCCTGTGAAGAGCTGAGACCAAAGTTTACCCATCATGCACAGCGCCATGCTTGAATGAGCCAAGGATTTTCAACACAAACACCTCAGTCCAAACGAGAAACACGACAGCTGAGGATTTGGGCTTGTTTTGCTGTGACAGGTCTCTGAGTGGACCATGAGGTCCTCTGTGGACCAAATTTGAGACCAGCTGAAGCTGGGACCAAACTGGGTCATGATGCAACAGAACAAYGACCTCAAACAGGGCAGCAAAACTTCAACAGAACGACTGAAAACTAATACGATCAATGTGTTGCAATGAGCTCAACTTTATTTCATTGTTCAGATGGTGTAATTAACTGAATATTTTTTTTTATTATGAGGTAAAGATGATATTTGATGTAAAACTTCACAGTTGTTTTAATTTATGTGGTGATTTTGTTCTGCTGCACACGTCGGAACTTTTTTTGTATTGTTCAGAAAGTAAAAGCTGCACCAGGAAACGAGCCTTCTTTCTCCCCATTTTCACACTTTGCACAAAAAAGCAGAAAGAAGCAAAAAAAAGAAAAAAAAAGAAAGCCGAAGGCCTCGTTTCACACGCATTTCACTTTGCTGCACCTCTTATCTCCATCTGATCTGCTTCTTTTCCTCTCTGCTGATTCTATGAACTCGGCCACAGATACAGATATGAAGACGTGCTCACCCACAGAAAGCAGGATCTCTGGCTTATAAACTAACTCTAGCCAGATTCAGGTGAAAGATGAAATTCTTTCAAAACAGACCTTTAACAAATGACTGTAAATTAAACAGCAAATATTGCTTTTTCTGCCTTATTTTTCTTATTTCACAAATAAAACCCCAAACATCTGTTCAAAACTATTATTTTGTTATTTTGTGTAAGCATATTTGTGGTTATATTACCTGCTTTAGTGCTGAGCAAAAAGACAAAAATATCTTTGCTGCTGAAGTTCTTCACTGCTAGATTTCGTTCCTCCCCGCGAACAGACCCGTCCAGTCGCTCATAGCTATAACCTGAAGAGGAAAACACAAAAAAGGCTTTATGAGCAAATATTAATTATCTTTTATAAAGTGAAGACTGGTGGAGCCAGTGAACTCAGAAAGTCCAACAAATGTGACTTTTTCTCAACGTTACAAAATGAATGAATTGTCGAGATGTTTTTAAGTGACCCTCTCTGTTTTTAGTTGTAGTCACCTCGATACTCCATGTAGTCCTGAAGAATATCCAACATCCTTGTCATCTGAGAGAACAGCAGGATCCGGTGACCCCTTCAAAAACAAAAACTGTAACCAAAAGAGATCTGGGGTTCTTTGACCTCGAAGCACGATCTACCGCAGGTAAGATATTAATAGTTCAGAACCTGTCCTCAAAGTTCCACTTTAAAAGATCTGAACTATTCCTTTCAAATGTGCTAACCCTGATAAAGCATTTAGAGTCGTTCCATTAGAGCTATACACTCACCGGCCACTTTATTAGGTACACCTGTCCAACTGCTCGTTAACACTTAATTTCTAATCAGCCAATCACATGGCGGCAACTCAG